GTTTGAGATCCTAGTAGATGAAAAGAGAATACTCAGAGGGATGCTCTGCTAGAAAATTGATAAACTGTGAATATGGGAGGTAGAACTATGTTAACTAGAAGATAACCCGTGCATTGCTGCGGTAATAGGTTGCTGAAAATTTGGGTTGATAACGTTATCATATGATTTGTTATATTTGATTTTATGTGGAGTTGCAAAATATATATTGAATATAAGTAGAATAACCGGATGGAAAACGTTTTTATTGCATGGTTGAATGTTGTGGTGGGGCTTTCTTCATGCATGGTCACATGTTGGGGTTGACCTTATTTCATGCATAATTGTATGATGGGGTTAGCATGCTTGCATGTTGGGATAAATAAAGTAATGGGATCACTCTCTTATGTATACTATATGATTAACAGTTTTGCTAAGGCTGGTCATAGTGGGGAGTAATTTAGGCTAGTGTCATATACTAGTGTCATGTATATGACACTAGTCTAAGTTACTACTTTCATAATGCAAAGTAATATAATAGTAGTATCTTAGATGACTTCATTTATTAGCTTGTAGACTCATCTTGTCTTAAAAAGCGCTATGCTACAGTAACATATTATGTTACCACCTCTCATTAATTACTTGCCACATAAGCAACAATTTCTTGAAGTGCGCTATGTTACTAGCTAAGTTACTCCCACTATGACTAGCCTAAAACACATCTAGATGTACCCTAAACATATCCATTAATTAACTCATCTCTTTCAAGCTTATCCTTGTGCATGTCATCAGTGGCGGAGCCAGAACTTTTGTGAAGCCTGGGCGAATTTGAGACTGAGTGTCGAACCTAGAAACCAAAATCGGGTGTTCGGATACACAATATATAAAACGACATCAAACTTTTAAACCACAAATCCACATTAATGATGTGGTGAAAATATAACCATAGAAATCATATAAATGTAATTTATAGTGAAATAAGTGTCACTGATTTTGTACCAAATTAGTGTATAAATTTTAAACTAAAGCATTGACACTTATTTTGGGGCGGAGGGAGTATTTATTTAGTTTCATAGGCCAAAATAAAGTTGAGACTTGAAAACATTAAGTTATAAAACCAGGCTTGCGACCAAACTCGTCATATTGCCGGCGGAAATATAACTATCCAAATTACCATTCAAATGTCCTAGAAGACACTATAAGATAGAAATGGATTTGTAATTCACATAAATTAAGTATTGTGATTTGTGAATATATTCAAATTAGGGAGCTTGCAACCGTCTCACGAGGCAATATGAGATGGTGGTTGTGGCGTACTTTCAGTGCCAAGAACCTCCTTGTCTCTCAGAGTTAATAATTTGAAGTTTGAAATTAACATCAACTATCTAAAACATACCCCTAAACGAAGGATTAAGCTCATAAAAGTGGTGATCATCTCCAATGATCAATTCCCCTCGTCGTGACCTCAAAATAAGTCTATTAATCTATTCACAAAGAAAACTATTAATCTCACCTAATTACAAAGACGGGGACAAGCGGCCGTTAATGCAAACCGTTCCTTGGGGTCTTGGGTGGATACTTTCTGGCTCCGCCCCCGTGGCCGGCCGCGCGCTCACTGAAGGTCTGTCTCTGTCTCTAATCGATGAAGGATGCCGCCATTTTTCAAATAGAAGCTAAACGAACGGGGAGTCCCAGGGAGGTTGCCTTCTCGTCTCGAGTAAAAGAAAGAACAATCGAACCGAACAAATAGGCTCGTCTCACGTGGGTACTCGTAGCCCATCCGTCAATGCTTAATTGAATAATTGATTAGTACGGTTGACTAGAGAGAAAATTAATGGAAGCCCATTGGCCCAGCTGCCCGTTGCCCGGGTAAACCGCCGTGCGAGTAGTATTTTCCCTGTTTTGATACCACCATCGTAGCATGCAGCGCAGCTAGCGAGCCCGGGCAACTGCCCAGGCTAGCCGGGCGGTGGCTCCGCCACTGCATGTCATCCTTCTACGATCTATAGAGGAGGGGAGTGATTCGTCGCACATATGACACGGTTGGTTATGGCAGTAAAGACATGTAGTTTCTTTAAATGGAATTAGGGAAGAAATCTTTTTTTAGAATAAAAAAACTAACACAAAAGTAAAACTGTGACGTGAAAGCACAATTAAAGAAGGAAAATGAGATTGTATCTTTTTGTATAATGTGACTCTTGTCATCGTAGTTGAAGCGAGTTAATTGACATTGCGATGTTGTGCGCGTCCCCATCCCCACTCATGCTCGTGTGTTTCTTCCAACTCTCTTCTCCCCCACGCGCTTCGTCGTGAACAAATACCCGAAGAACTTCGTTATCAACACGAAATGCAAGGGCAAGGCGATCTTAGAGCAACTCTAACAGAATCGCCATATTCGCCAAAATTGCATAATAACTGTCATATGTAGCACAAACCACAAAAAACAAACTCTAGAAGAGTTGTCATACCTTTCAAAATCACCATATGCTTTGTAATGGGAGCTCCATATTTGGTCTCCAGCCTCCATATTTGGAGTACAGGAGGGATACCATGGGTTGCACTCCATAATTTCACCCACGTGGTGGGAACGTGGCGGGACGGAAATTTCATGGTAGGTGGAAATTGGTCCCCACCTACCAAGAAATAGGTGTCCAATGACAAACAGAATCCCACATGAAAAGTGAAATATGAAGGTTGTATTTTTTAGCGATTGTGACTTTCGCTCCACTAGCTCTTGAGTCTTCATGTTCTTTGACGATTGTCTTCATCGTATTTTTGTCAATGACGATTCTACTAGAGTTGCTCTTAGAGTTTGTGTCGTTGGTTTCCTTGCTCTCCTTATAGGGAATCACGAACCGGAGCAAAACAAGTAACTTCACTACTCATTGAGTTACACATTTACAAGTGGGATTTGAAAAGAGCAACAAAAGTGTTCCTCTAGAACAAACATGGAGACAACGCACGGCATCACGATGCCAATTAATTAACACGCTTTAAACTTACTTTCGATCTCCCGTTGCCGCTCACGATTGTATATGTGATTTGTACATGGGGAGAAGCATCTGTAGGGGCTGGCTTTGGCCTACCCATTGGCTGACACTGACTCAGGAGAGGAGAGGTGATGCTGCTGCTTGGCTGTGGCTTCGCTGACAGGCGAATGCAATCTTTTTTAGGGTTCAGAAGTTTGAAGACACGTCTATGTAGGTTGCCCCCAAAATTACCAGAGGAAACTTACGCCATCATCACGTCGACGGCAGTTTATATATTTTCTTTCTTGTACTCTCTTTGACAGTCCAAGCCGTGCACGTGTAATTACTAATTTATCAAGACAACAAAAACAGAGGGGTAAAAACAAGCATCATCCCATTTGTTGCATCTGTCTTCATCATTAAACCTAACGGCGTACAAAAACTCCTGCCAATTGTTGGCAGCCCACATCATACAGTTGTAATACAACCTACTAATTCGCACCCCCAAAACCTGCGCTCGTCATAGGCTCGCACTCCGCAGCAGGGGCGTCTTTCTTGTCGTCTTCACCCTTGGGTTCTTCGCCCTCGGCTTTGCTGCCATCGCCATCTTCGTCGTCCGCGGGGGAGGCATCCTTCATCTGGTAATCCACCTTGAAGTCGTAGTCCGCGTCCATGTCGTTCAGCACGCTGAACTTGTTCCCCTTGCGCCGCTTCTTCTCCGCTTTCTTCTTGCGGGGGTCGAGGATGCCCTCGGCGGTGTACAGCTTGTCGTGCTGCGTGCCACCACTCGCCGCCGCCTTGCTTCCTTCACGGTCGTTCGCGTCGGACATCGATTCGTCCTTCACAGGCGCACTCTGCGTCAGGGGATCCTGTTCAATGCAAGACAAATATCATCTAGCTGTACTAGTAATATGCAACTTGAAAGTTAACTTAGACGTCTCCAACACAAGAGATACCCAAAGCCTGCTTCTTTTCTGTCTACCAAAGCCTTTGACAGGTCTACAGTTTATAACTTGCTTAGTTAGAATTAGAACATGGCAAAACAAGCATATGTAGGAACTAAAGTGTAGGATACTGTCAAGAAAGGGGTAGCTGACTGCAAAAATCTACAATAATAACATTGCTGTTTTAATTAAAGGAAGACCACTGTAGCTGTAAGAAATACCTCGAGCATCGCTTCATCAATCTCTGGTGGGGCATTAGATGGAATTTCAATATGACTGAACTCCTCCATAGATTTTAGACCACTAATATATGAAGACTCAGCTTTGTAAATTTCATCAACATTGAATTCACTTCCATCTTCTGTGATAATTACCGCATTGGCGTCCTCCACAACATCCCTTTTAGGTGGCAGTGTAAAGTAGGGTACCTTGCCTAATAACAAGAGGGTTAGATGGCTTGGAAACAAAATAATAATTAACAATTACAGGATAACTTGTCAATTGTACCTTCATTCCAGTCATGAATCACTATTTTTGCAGCAGCTTCCACATCCACTATACCACCTTTTTTCAATTTCCCCCTGAGTGTAGCAAGTTTTTGAAGGAAATCATCAACTGAAGTAAAGCTTGGCACCTTGTACAGAGACAGCAATTTCTCGTGTGGGCAAAGACTGATGATTTCTTTAACTGCAAGAATGCAATAAATATGGAGTAAGTCATTGGATAATGCATTTCCAGGTATACTACCGTACTAGCTTGTTGTCAGATTAGTATCAGCAAAGTAAACTACAAGTACAGTAACTGGGATGAATATAAATTATCTAAAAGCTGGCTTGAGTGATGATAATGCACGATAACACCTACCAGGAGTGATTACATCGTCCATCTTCTCAACTCTTTTGCAATTACGAAGAGCTACAGACACACCACTGCTGGTAGATCTGAGCATCACAACACCAGGACAATCCAACAACTTCACCTTCTTGTCTAACTGAACCTCCTGCATTGATCTAGTAACCCCTGGAGTAGAACCGACATTAACCACACGGGACCTCTTCAAACTGTTGATTAGACTGCTCTTGCCAACATTAGGAAGGCCAACAATACCCACAGTAATTGCCAACTTGAGCTGCAAGCACACCCCAATAGTTAAATTTAGGCACAGGACCACTGTAAAATCAGGAGTAGTTGTCAAAATGTCACGACGAGATTAAACAGTCCACACAGAAAATTTAGGTGCGTGCATGAAAATAAATCTGTCTGTCAATGTTGATATGGCTTCCATGGAACAGGACAAGACAAAAGGACAAAATCTAATAGCATGAAGTCAGGCAAATCATATTTGGTCTTAATAAAGGATGGAATTTTCAATGTAAATAAGATAAGAAAACTATAAATCCTAAGAACACAGGTGAAACTCCTAAATGAAGCTAGATAAATACACACAAACAAAGACAGTCTCCGGTCATCTCTAAAAACATCAAGATAGGATACCTCATGACTCCTGGAATAATTTTTTAGCAGTTTAATCAGGTTCTCAGCACCAAGACAATCACTGCTTTGTGGGATATTGCTTGTTTTATCAAGCTTTGACGATTTCCATCCCAGCTTGGTCCTCTGCTCTTGAGTGTTGCACTTGAATGCAACAGTTGGCAATTCCTCCCTTAGATATGAAAGCCACTTCTCTACCGACTCCTTGGGGACAAGATCTACAATCGACAAAAAGGATAACCATAAGATGCAGAAAGACAGGAAAGATCACACTGATGATAAAGTCATCAAAAGTTACACTATACCTATCTTGTTGAGAAGCAGCACAATCCGTTTAGTTGGATCAGCCTTCCTGACCATCTTCTCCATGTCAACGCAGCGAGTGCCCAGTGGGTCCCTTGCATCAAGAACCTCGAGAATCACATCGGAAGCTTCGATGACTTTAACCAGCTCCTTGTAGAAGGCTCTCTCTGAATGGTCTGGAGACACATTCAGCAGCTTTAGTAAATAATGTTCATGCAAGCAGTAGGCCGAAAAACACCGGCAATGGGGGAAAAGAAGCTAACCATTGGTCTTAGGCACCGCTAAAGCAGCAGTCACCTCTGCTGCGTCATTGTCATTAGCCATGTCTTCATCGTCGGGTATTCCGAGCTTTCTCTTCCTAGCCTGAAAGAGGAGGCCACAATATTTGAGATCATTGTTCAACTTCTGTGAACATTAATAACAGACTTCTGAAGGTAGACATCGCGAAGGAAATCAACTCTCAACATCTAGCCAACCAATCTATCTAAGCAAGCATCTAATGACACCTAGGGAATTGACACTAAAAAATAACTAGATCATCAAGGACGACTACAAATTTGCTCTCATGACACCGACCGAACACTGAGGAATTGGTAGCGGCACGCCAGGGAAGTTAACGGCAGAGGCGGGTGGTTGCTTACCCTCTCCCTGCGGGCCTCCTTCTTGTCCTCCTGCTCCTTGATGGCCATGGCGCGGCGCACCTCCAGGTTCTTGAGCTCCTGCTCCTTGAAGGGCCACTCGTTGGGGATCCCGGGGTCCTTCTCGACCTTGCTCCGGCCGGTCTTGCCCTCCTTCCTCGCCTCCTTGCGCTTCTTGCGGTGGTGCTCCTTGACCTTGCGCAGCACCTTGTGCTTCGCCTTGAGCGTGACCCGCTTGCTCTTGCTCTTCTTGCTCTTCTTCGGCATCTTGCCGCCGACGACGACGCCGCTGCGGGGTGGGGTGGCGAGGAGGAGGGGAGAGCCGCCGCCGGTGGAGGGAGGGAGAGAGGAGGAGGAGGAAGGGAGAGCCGGTGGCGACGAGGAGGTATGGATGGCTCTGGCGGCTGGTAAGCAGGGGAGAGGTGCTAGGGTTTAGGAAGACGGCAGATGGGCCTTGAGGTACGCTGCGTGTGCGGCCCGCGCTAGGGCGGCACCGCCCACCTGGGCCCTCTACCACCCCGATGTTGGCCCAAACAGAAAAGCACCCGTTTCCCCCTCCCGCAGAGTGGGCTGGCCCCGTAGCGTTAATTTGTTAGCATGCGTTCTTTGTTTCGTCCTGTTCTTCTTTTTTCTTTTATTTTACATTTGTCTTTTTTAATATGCTAGTAAATACTTATAATTCAAAAATTAATTGAGTTCAATCTCTAAAAGGGATATAATAGTGTAAAATATTGATAGCATTAAAAAAATTATGACATTAAGAAAATATTCACATGTTTCAAAAATATGTTTGTGACATTTAAAAAAAGTTCACATACATTTTAAAAATTGATATTTAAAAATTTTCACGCATTTTTCAAAAGAAATGTTCATGAATATTTATTAAAATGTTTATACAATGCAAAAAAATGTTCCCATTAATATTTTTTAAACGTTACATGACATTCATAAAAAATGGTCAATGTGTATTTGAAACAATGTTTAACATGTATTGAAAATATATTCATCATGTGTTTGAAAAATATTCAAGTGTACCGTGTATTGGAAAAAATATATGAAAAAACTAAAGAAAATCTCTCCTGCTCCCTGACTCCTCTCCTTGGTCTTATCGACTGTATGGACATACAGGAGAATTGGAGTGGGACTTTTTAAACTTTGGAACTTTTCTCAAATTTGCTAGAATTGCAACGGTACCTATCAAATTAACTCAGAAAAACAAACTCAACTTAGAGCAACCCTATACGTTCATGCCTCCCATTGTACACACCAATTTGTTTTTTTTTTCTTTTAATAATAGGAAATTTATGTCAATACCATTAGTCCCTCCTCAAATTTTACCATCACATTGTTTCTTGGAAATAATAGAAACTTGCACGCTTCTAGCACATCCAAGCATCTTAGATGCCTAAAAACTTCAGATTTTTCTTTTGCTATTTTTTCGAATTTACTGTTCATCGAGAGGAGCCTGGGCTCATCTGTGGATTACCATTGCAATTTACCTTGTCAAACAATTAAATACACATCGCTCCCCTCAATAGATTCTGCGAACCAAATGGCAGGCATTCTATGTACCTTATTATGGCAGCTACATCTACATCTACCATGAACAAACGTGTTCAGTAACCGTGGTTGCAAGAACCCTTCCTATGCATCGCCCTGTGATTCCATCTGCACCATAAACCTTTCCACATCCGTCCACCAGTCAGCATCATCACAGCCGCCATCCTCCTGCGCATACACACACATATCAGGGATCATGACTTCCACCGACCAACTTGGGGCAGCAAAAGCGAGAAGCGACACAAACTACTAACCAAGTTACAAGATGCAGGAGGAGCATGATCGACATTCTCGACACTGTCAGCAAACTTCACCGCTTCTTCCCACCAATCAGGATCCTCCTCCTCCCCGCTCCCCATAACAGAGTTAGCATCGTTTCCGCCGCCTTCCATATTGAATTCTACAACATTCCCTTGATAATCTCTCCGGGCTGATCCGGCTATGGAGGTGGTGAGCTCAGGAATCACATCTAAGGGTACGGCACGCAGTGGAGAACGGTACCCTGTTCATTCCAAAGCACTCGTGTTAAGAGGAAATGATTATAGTGAAAAAGGAGAGTTACTGGAACAATCGATGTTCCTTTCTTACCTCGACAATCAGGGTCATAACACTTCTGGTAATACGCAGCTCTTTGGAAATCCACAATGTACATAACTGGTGCACCGTCAGTCAGGATTAGTGATTAGCTAATATGCTAACATGAAGTAGTGACAAACTTCAGAAAACACACCTACATGTGCAGGCAATGTTGCTTGCAAGTATTCATCTAAACTGAAAACATGTCACCGACACGCAGTTAACGTTTCCTACTTTGATCAACTCTGTAGGGTTTGTGAATACTTTTTTGCAAAAAAATTCATTGCAGCTATTATAGGCTAACTACTTCAAGCATCCTCATTAACAGAAAATTATGATAATATGCACTTACGATGATTTTGCAGCAGAGTGAACTAGCAGATGAACACAACATGAGATGATTGTAATGCTTAACAAACATGTCAAGTATTATTTGGTTAAATATTGTATACTAAAGGCAAAGAACATAACACAAAAGATTTGTTGCAGCAGCACATGGCCATTATACATTTGTTCTTGCAAAAATGCTAACAGTAAATTAAGGGTGAACACATGATGGTACAAATCCAAACAACACTGTAGTAGCATACATAAAGTACAGTATAAACTTATGGTATTTTCTCAACTAACTGATTATGGTACATTTGCAAGCAGCATCAACAAAGTAATGCACTGCTGTGCAAGAAAGTCATATACAGAGAACGGTAAAATGTTACCATGATTGCTTTTATGCTCTCTTCCAATATGCTCACAGTATCTACTCCTTGACATGCTATAAATCATTAAACCATCTTGGGAAAACCAGTACCAGCATCGAATTTTCCCTGCAATAATAAATAAATGTTTAAGTAGTGATGAAAGAGTAAGACTTGCATTTCCAAAAATGCAGCATTTATTTGCTTTCAGCATAAAATTAATTAAATAAGAGTACTATAAGAAATAATCTCCTAAAAATATATTACAACATTATCTGCGGAAACACCAATGCTGTGAAGCCTTCAGCAAATGAAACAGCGCAGCAAAAGTTCAGGATTAATGACCAGAAACCATTCTTTTTTATTTTACTGTAGAGGGGCTTAGTTAGACACATTTCCAACTGAAGGTAGTGTCACTTGCATGGCCAGCATGCTAGTGTAACAATGTGCCGTATTCATGCAGCACCAAGGCAGCAGCAGCACACAACTAGACAGCATACACTCAGGTTATATTGCCATTGAATGGTTTTTATTCTGAAGAACAGGGTACTATAGGCATATTGTGGAACCATGTTCTTTGACAGGACTGCCCACAAACACACATTTCAGAATTTCAAATAGACTGCCGGAGGCAGACAAACCTGTTGAAACTGAGTCTTGTATAACACATAAATGTATGCTAGAAAAATAACCACTGTCTCAAACAAAAATAGTCCATCCAGAAATGGAAGGTGCAACGCTTCTCAAGATTTATTTCTGGCTAAGAATTTGTTCAGTAGCATGTGGATTACGTGATACAAGATCAACATCAATGGTTCGTAGTATAAAAGCACTTCTCACCGATATCGATTTTGTATCAGATAATCTACATATAGTTGGACTAATTGCTGGTCAAAATCATGTGCCTCATATTTCTGGATGAAGGGAGTAGAAGGATATCTGTGAGGAAGAACCAAAAACCTGAGACACTTCCAAAGGAAGCTATAGATTCAATAAAACCGTCCAGAGCTGGAAAAGGAGATCTCCCGTAAGTATATGCTTGAGGAAAATCACTTCGGTAAGTATCAATGGCAACCCGGCAGTTTTTTACTTGAATCTAAGAATGGCACATTAGAGAAAAAATCATATATAAACTCAACATAGTAAAAATACATCAGTAATGAAACCACAAATACTCACTCGTGTAACGCTGGCTTCAGTGTCAAAATGTAATGCTTTCTTGCATTCCAAATCAAGTTTGCAGATCAAAAGCTTATCGCAGTCATCATCTAGTCTGCAAATAAGTGACTCCAGGAATAGTTCCTTGTCATTCTGTAAACGAGTAGAACATCATATCAGCCTATCAGATGCAATATTGAGATAAACCTCGCAAGTTTGCATGTGGTCAACAGTGGGTAACATTAGGGGTAAAAGATAATGACGCTATGACAGGAAAAGGGAACCAGAGACTGTATAGCATCACCATCACATGAAAACCTGCACCTGTCAAGTTGATTTGTCTGCAAGACTGCAAGCACATAGGGACTGCAGTGCAGACAAAAATCTAATCGCCGACTGCATTTCAGCATTCATTTAAATTCCTCATGCCAAAAGATATTAAAAACTGTTGACACAAAACACATTTCGAAGGTTGCATGAGTTGATACTCGATTTTGATTTCAAAAAAGAGCTGCCTGCACCAGCCTATTTTTAAAAAGCTGGTTTGGGATGAATTCCCAGGTCATTTATGGAACCTCATTAAGTTACATCATATTTGGAAATAGTGCTTCAAAATTCAGATATAATACTAAATTCTTTATTTTACCATCTGCAATGCATTGCCATTTTATATTTTTAACTGACAATGCGATAATAGTTTTCTCATGGAATTTCCAGATTTGTTACATGTACACAAGAGAACCGAGTGTCACTCATTTTGGCTAGGTGCATGTCCACACCTACCCACGCGCCTTCGGGTCCTGGACTCCGCGGGCATCTCACAGTTTTCTCCCATTTCTAAATAAGAAATCTGCAGGGTACTAGCCCCTGTAGGTCTAGTTTTTCTCTTCTGTTACATGTACAGAATGCATCTCTTTTATTAAAAGAAAAGTCACAAGGCCTAGTACCTGTAAATCTAATCTTTTACACATAATTTGTACATGTAAACACATAGTTCAGAGCTTCTCTAAAAATATTATTGTTTATATCCCGATCAGGGTGCTCCATCCCGATCGCGCCGGTCCAGAATAGGGAGATGATTGGGATGGAGCACCCTGCAGCCGGCACACCACCTTCCCCTTCGCTTCCAGCATGACAAACTGCTGTTGCGAGATCTCCGACGGCAGAGCCGCGCCCTCTGGCCAGCAGGACACCGTCCTGTTTCCCCGCAGCACGCTATTTCTACACTCCATTGGGCAGCAGGAGACGGGCGGCGAGCAACATTACACACACCAGCTC